GCCGGCCGAGGTATAATAGAAAGCAGTGTGCGCAATGTGCGACACAGATGTTAGATATAACAAGTTAAAAGATGCCTTGAGTGAATAAGTTGTAAAGATATACTGATACAGTGATACATTCGGATGCGGATGGATATAAAGATTGATTAATGGAAACGGATTGATTCATATCTTTTGTATCTATCTTTCCTGAGTTACCCATCTCTACTTAGCATTAGCAGTTCACAGCGTCGTTTGAGATATTTAAAGTTAATTATTCTTATAATTCAAGAAATGGTGCAAACTTGTGTAGTACATGGTTGCGACAGTAGTTGGTGTCCAGGAGGTGATATAAGATTTCACACGTAAGTGTTTAAATAGTGACTTCTGACATTGAATACTTGTAAACATACTTTTTGTATTTTCACTTAATTTTTTTGCTGAAACGTTTTATCAGTGTTTTAAACATATTAGTAAATTATAACTGTCAAAATCAAATACTTTTACATTGAATTTAATTAAGTTTGAACAATTTTATTGTTTTTGTTTAAAAGAAATCGCACTGAAGTAGTGTGACCATATTGATGATGTATCTGAGACTTTCCGTGTGACCTTAACTAATTATATGTACATGTTTCTTATTATCTTACCGGAAATGCATGAAATTTAGGAATTATGTACACTTCCTATATATTCTATATAATGACGTATTTCATAGATTTTATAATATTAAATTAAAAATGAGTACCTAACATAATATATTCTTTTGGTAGACAATTTATTTTTATTTAGTTTTTGTTTCTCATTATTCTGATACTTTAATAACGTTTATAATAATTATGTATTTAGAAATGTAGTAGTTTAGATGTATGATATAAAGCAACATTTTGTAAAATATGTTATTATTTGCAGACAATAAGTGCATTACATGAAGAGTCTATTGTGCAAATAGCTGCTCTGGCTGTACCAAGCACTAGTTCTGGCATTTATGAAAGTAGTTCTGCACTTAAGGAAACAGAAGTGAAATGTACTGGCTGTAATATTGAAGACCAAACTAGTAAAAAACAATGTCGAAAAATTCTTGAAAATTTATGCAATCTTAACAAATTACCTGTAAGTGTCCTTTTCCTTTATTATTAAATACATACCTTTTATTTGTATTTATTATGACTTTAATATTACATTACATAATGTATTATATAGCTTAAAACACATACATATTTAAACTCTTTATTGCCAATCGCAGTATGGTAATAGTTACTACGACACTAAGCATAAAGCTTCTTGTTTGATGCTTCATTTATGCGTGCTCATGAAGGCGCGCTCCGGTGTATTATATGTTACCTATTAAGTGATGTTAATTTGTACTGACATTATGATGTAGAAGAGTTATTTGTTTTATTTTTTTTTTTGTTAGAGTTCTCTATCTCTCTCTATCTCTGGAACTATACCAGTCTGATTTGAAAATATTTTTTTGCATTTTTAAAACCAATTCTTCTGGAAGTCTATCTAACATCACGCTACGACCCTTATGAGTGGAGCAATACGATGTACGATGCTAAAAATACTGATTTCATAAAGTTTTCTTGTTTTCTTAGGTCAGCAGTGAATACGACGATCCCGCGAAGATTGGTAGGGGCGTGCAAGTGAAAATAAAGTGTACTAAAGAAGAAATACTTGAGACGAAAACTAAGATTCTTAAGCAAAAAGTGGCGCGCCAAACTAAAAAATTCAGGATAGGTCTTCTTTAATGGACGCTATTAAAAAGTATACGGGTCAGTCAGAAATTGAAAATATTATTCAAGGGCGCTTTGCTCATATCTGTAAGGACTTCAAAAAGCCACAGAGTAATCCACATGGTGTGAAAAATTCAATAAATAATTTTAATATGGAAAGTGTTTTTATTTAATTTTTTAAGGTTTTTAACAAACCATGTAGTGGTGGTGTGAGAATACCCACTACCCCATATCGTTCCGAGGGTGTTGTAAAAGGTGTCAGAGGGAAAATGAAACAGGAGATGGGCAGCGGCATCTTTCTGATAACAACTCAAAATAATTATATATTATCCTTCCTATTATAGTACATATGTTACTAGATATCTATGAAATCTGTTATTATATAGAATTCCTAGGAATTGTAGATAATTCTTAAAATGAACTGGATGTGTGGAATATAGTATTATACACATTTCAGCTCAGAGCAGCCTGACTCGGATGGGTTAGGTCAGAAGGCTAAGGCAGGAGCTCCGCTACGCTGCTTTAGTCCTCGTGATATTTTTTTTAAATAATTGTTCAGAAATAGATTTAGTCTGTCTGAACAATAAATCAGGTATATTTTGCCCAATTCATTGATCACCCGGGGTTATAAAAAATTTTAATTTTATATTTCGTTGGTACCGTTTAGGAATTGTATACAATAACCAGAAAATACATTATCGAAATGGTAGTTATAAAATATAGTCTGATATATTTATTTTCCACATTTTCTAAATAGGCTCGGCATTATATGGATTGTGACGGAAATGCGTGGTCATATTTTAATACCGGTTCTGCCCATGGAAATGAAAACCTTTCTTCATAAAACTAGTCAATTCCCAAAAAAATTGTACAAAAATATATAATCTATATAGGCCAGGACTTAGTAGTAAACAGAGATATAGATATTTATAAATAAAACACTTAATGTAACTCAACTACTTATAGCGATATCCTGGGAAAAATAAAATAAAGGTTACCTACTTAGAAAGGGAGGGCCTGCCCACAGAGAGCGAGATAGTAATACATAGGTTTAGCTTCAAGTAGGTATTCGGAGTGTGGTCTCCATCTTTATCTATAACTTCATGTGTGTAGCGTCACCGTGGCTGTTTAATCTGTTCATGGACAATTGTTTGACAGATTTAAAAGAGAATGAAAGTGGGTTGAGAATGAATGAGTTACTCGTCAAATGTTTTCTCTATGCTGATGACCAAGTATTACTTGCGTCTTCGGCCGAGGAGTTGCAGGAGATGGTAACTGCTATGAGTGGAGCTTTTGTTAGAAAGGGAATGAAGATGAATGTAAGGAAGACAAAAGTGATGGTGTTTGAAAAAGATGAGGCAGTGACAGATTGCAATATTGTGATTGAAGATGAACAAATTGAACAGGTGAAAGAGTTTATGTATCTGGGTTCAAAGTTTACAAGAGATGGAAAGTGTGAGAGTGATATCGAAAGAAGAGTGAATGCAGGAAACATAATGAATGGAGCTTTGTACTCCTTTATGAGCAGTCCGAAGGTGTCTAACAAGGCTCGTTTGGCTGTGCATGAGGGGGTGTTGGTTTCGACACTCATGTACGGAAGTGAACGTTGGGTATGGCAGAAGAAACATGAAAGCAAAATAAATGCAGTTGAGATGAGAGCATTAAGAAGTATGATAGGAGTTAAACTGAGTGACATGATAAGAAATAGTGAGATAAGGAAACGTTGTGGTCTGAAAGAAGATGTAGTGACAAAATTGAGAAAGGTATGCTGAGATGGTTTGGCCATGTCGAGAGAATGAATGAATAACGATTGACGAAAAAAGTGTATAAGGCGAGTGTGAATGAAAGTGTTGGAAGGGGTAGACCTAGGCGGACATTTCTAGACCAAATCAGGGACGTCTTAAGAAAAGGCCAGGTCAAGAGTACCCTAAACCGTAGAGCATGTATGAAGGGAATAATGAAAGTGGACGAAGCAAAACAAGTATGTAAGGATCGTAGCAAGTGGAAAGAAGTGGTCTCTGCCTACCCCTACGGGAAAGAGGCGTATGTATGTATATGTATTTCCTAATTTAACTTATATGCTCTATCTCTTTAAACATAATCTTCACACCAATTTAGAAAAGGTCGCAGTCCACATTAATCAAGTATTTCAATCAGTAAATCATGCCTATATAGAAATTCTAAGCCATGGACACCATGGAAGCTAAAGCCAACTTTCAAACAAAGAAAGCTACAGATATTATTCTACGTATGTTTTTTTTCATTTTCACCGATTTCTAGGAAACCACTGAACAGTTTCAAATAATACTTTTTTTTTGTCTGCTATATATGAATGTTTCTTTTATAGGATAAGGTGACAAACGAGCACACAGTCCACCTGATGGTAAGTGGTTCAATATAGAACCAAAATACAGATGCGTTTTCACCCTTGAGGACTAAGAAGGAATGCGTCTTTTCCAGTAAAAAGGGTCTCCTGTTTTCTACACTCACCATATGAAACACAGCAGTGCTAAGCTGCTATTTTACGCTGGTATTCTGTGAGAGCATGGTCCTTCCCCGGTCGAGCCGATTCATTCGTGCTACAACTATACTACTAATATAGCTACAGCATGGGTCTCCCCGTATAGAAAGAACCACGTATGAAAGTTGTGGGAATGGAACCTATATGTTAAATAAAAAAATAAACTACTGCTAAGGAATGAAATCGTATTCCAGTTAGTATCTTATGGTCATGATATTGCTTGGTCCACTCAAATGTCTAATAAATTTAAAAGTATAATACAATTTTAGAATCTAAAAATAATAAAATAATTTCTACATAATAGCTCCTTCAGGGCTACGATACTCGTATCTCCAGAAACAGAAATAAATAGATACAAAATATTAGAAAGTATAATAGGTTCCTGTATAGGACAGTTATTATATAGGTAATCTTTGATAATAAATAGGTAACAACACAGACTTAGAATATACGGTAACACGGTAACAAATAACAATGGTTACAATGACTTGACACTGGCAAAAGTACCTACTCACTGTGCAAGAATCAAAGAAATAAAACATGACAATTGCTTTGACAAATGACAGCAGCACAGCAGCATTATTTGACTTGAAATTGTACCTATTGAAAAGAAAGAACAAAAAATGTCTGTTTTCATAAAATGAAAACATTTAAATGAAGTTTTTAAACATAGTGTGAGATATTAGCGATAAAAGTACGTTTAATTGTTGTTGTGTTACTGTTTATTTATAACCAATATCAACTCCATAAATTCATAAAGAAGCATGGATTCGTGTCTCGGAGTAGAGCAAGATTTGGACAAAGCTACATCGAAATTTAATGCTTTGAATGACCATACAAATAAAGTTTTAGAAGACATAATCACTCAAGTTGAAGATTTGAGAAAAGAAATTTCTAAACGTAAGTACCATGTTGTTACAGGTAGTGTACTTGTAAATGACCTATTTGTTTACGAAGTGTGTTGAAAAATGAATCTCAGTTTTATTGCAAACATAGGTTCGGTATGGGTCCGGTATGCTGTTTCTAAAGTGCTTCCTAATTTATGCTATTGGAGGGATGGCGTTGTGGGGAGGCAGGAGGGAGAGGGATTCCTCTGTGGGGGAAGCAAGTTTCTTTAAATTAACTACCCAAAGTCAGCAATTTTTTCATAAACATGATCAAAGTTTCAGTGCTCTTTGACACATAGTTTTCAAGAAAATTAAGAACAAAATTATGATTTTCTTGAATATTCTTGTTAGTTTGACATAAGCATATATACATTTAATATGTTGCGATTTGTTTTAATAAGCTGTGTTGGAGTTAAAAGTAAATAATTAAATAAAATTTAAATATTCTTATTTTTGTATTTTGCTAATTAAATAAAAAATAATAGAATATAATATATGTTGCATTTAAGAGTTATTTCCCGGTAAAAACTAATTTTAAATGACAGATGTCTTGTATCTTGCTGGCGTCAATTGGTTTGATGGGTTATTCCATTTATCCACCCTGAAAAATCCACCCTAGGGTTGATAATTGGAATTAATATATATTATTTTTCTTACGTTTTTCTCCCTTGGTTGTGTACAGTCATTTAGAGAAACGATAAAAACTTGCTCAAGATACTTATTAGACATCTATTATACAAATAAAAAATTGGAAGTCTGTTTATAATGTCAAAATAACAGCTTTTTACTAAATGTTTAAGAAAGTATATATGGTACTTATATAAAAAAAACAATTTTTTAATTTTTGTCTGTCTATCTATCTGTCTGTTTGTTCCGGCTAATCTTTTTGTAATCTTTTATTTTGACGGGACTTCCGCTAGCAGATAGCTGATGTAACGAGAACTAAGTTAGACTATTTTTATTTAAAAAAATTAACTAACTTAAAAATTAACCCGGTCCTCAGCTTTGACAGTTGGCTCTTTCTGGCAAACAGATCTCTGGCAAAGACTTTGGAGCCTTGGTTCCGCTCGATCGCTTCTTCAATACAAGCTGTATTGAAGTTGCGTAAGTCCCGCCGCATGCATTTGGAGATCTGTATGCTGTCAAATCTGTTGAAGAATGTAGTTTCATCTCGCGTCTAACAGCCATGAGATCAAGAGTGTGATCGGAGAGTTTTTGTGTTCTTCTGCGGCGGGTCTTGCAGAACTTAGCTCCGACCGCATGGACAGTTTCCACGAGCTTGTCATTCATATCGTCCACTTCATTGCAGTTTTCTAGGCACTGAAAACGGTTTTGTAACTCGAGCTGAAAGGTTTCAGGACTTTGGAACAGAGCACGAGGGGGACGGAGCGTTAACTTCATTAGATGAGACCTCTCCAACTTAACATTCAGGTTCAGTGTGCCTCTAACCATTCGGTGATCGCTACCAGTTTTCACCCTCGCAATCACGGAGACATCACTGAACAGTTGTCATCTGGTCGTCATAATGAAGTCAATCTCATTTTTTGTCGAACCGTCGGGGCTCGACCAGGTTCACTTCCTGTTGGGCCACTTCTGGAAGAAAGAGTTCATCATAAAGAGTCCCTCTTTCTCCATGGAGTCGGCCAGCTGCTGGCCCCTTGGGTTCCGTTGCCCTATTCCAAATTTCCCTACTTTCAGCTCACCGTTCTCTCTTGTGCCTAGTTTTGCATAGAAGTCTCCCATTAACACCGTATATTGGGTTTTGGAGGAATGCATGGCTCTAGAGATATCCTCATACATTTCCTCCACCTCCTCATCGGGGTGTGCCGAGGTTGGTGCGTAAACCTGTATGACCTTCAGCGAATACCGTTTGGTGATTCTGACTATAAGGTACGCAACCCTCGTCGACACATTCTCAATCTTTACAACGTTGTTAACGAGAGACTTGTGGACGATAAATCCGACAGCTCCTTGGGACAGATGGTCGCCCTCCCGGTGATAGAGCAAGTTGCCGGATTCGAGGATTACCGTGTCCTCCCCCTCTCTTCGGACTTCGGATAATCCTATAATATGCCAGCATAACTTGTCTATCTCTTCTTCCAGCTCCACGATCTTCTCGTCAGTCCTCATTGTGCGTGCGTTGTACGTTGCCAGGTCGAGTCGTCTACGGTGGCAACCGAACTTCCACCAGAGATTCTTAGCACCCCTGCCCCGCCGTCCTCATGGTCGCCACTGTAGCCAGGAATAACGGGGCCGCCGGGGACTGGGGGCCGTCTCTTTGTTACTCTCTTCAGAGGGGGGTATTTGCCATAGTTGCCACACTTGGCGAGCGGGTTGGCAACTGCAGTTTTTTTTTATTGTAATTTCGGCTACTATCAGGAAGATGCTGCTGCCCATCACCTGCTTGTTTCCCTTTGTCGCCTTTTACGACACCCACGGGAAGATATGGGGTAGTGGATATTCTTGACCGCCACTACACGGCTATACAACAATATGTAATACATGAACTTTAATAGGCTATGAATATGTATGGAATTTAATTTTGTGGTTATATAAAATTAATTACTAATTTAAGTGTATGTGTTGAAAGTAGAAGAAATTAAAGTGAATTCCGACAATCCACCGTATGGGGTGGATAGACGAACACGCGTTTCCGATTATTCACCCAAGGGTGGATTTTTGAGGGTACATAAACGGAATAACCATGTTTGATCATTTCTATTCTTACATCTATACATTTTATTAACTTATCATGTGGATGTTGAACCAAGGGTCAACAAACAAGTTACAAGGGAATAATTCAAATGTAAGGACCAATTTCCCATAGATTGTTGTAAATTCTATTGGAATGTCAAAATTTGTGAACATTTTATTTTATGGAATAAGATTGACAAATGAGCACACAGTCTACCTGAGGAGAAGTGGACATATACATTTATACTCATTTAAAAATCAAAATGTAGATATACCGTGCTCCACTAAGAATCTTCTGCACTAGAAATCTGGTATGTTTCCTTATTTATTGAAATATAGTAAATTCATACCTTTCTTTAAATCTGGTAACACAGGACCCCATTAACTTTAGACCTATTTCTATACTGCCAATGCTGAGAAAAGTATTGAAAAAATTATTTCAGATCAAATGATAAGTTTTTTAATGTAAATAAATTGTTTCACAAAAATTAGTTTGGTTTTTACAAGGGGTAGCTCGAAAACAGATATTAAATTTTTTTTTAGATAATTATTAAGTTTCTTCCATTCTTTATTTTGTAACTTATTGGCTTTTTATGTTATCAGAGCTGAAATTGGTCACATCAATGTTAGTTATGTCATTTAAACTTCTTTACAGAACCTCCGAACAGTCCCCTTACACAAACCCAAGCTATGGTATTGAGTGATCTGGCAGCTAATGTGAAGCAGACAGTTTTCCAAATGTCAACAGGTAATTTGAAATAAGTACATAATATGAGTCGCTCTTCGCAGCTGTGCTGTACAAATTACAGCAAAGCTGTGGGGAACAACTCATATTCGCAGTCACTATAGGCATTTGCCTATAGCGACTGCGCCGTGTGCTCACCAGGAGTACCGCGAGCATTTATATTATCTAAGGCCGTGTAGGGTTTATGCGTGAATTGCACACTACGCCAGCAATAAGTGTTATATAGGGTTGTTTTTCAGTATACGGCCAAATTTACAGAAAAGGTTCAGAATAAGTAATATAGGCGAATGATGAAGAACATCAATTAAAAAAAATCTCAAACATTCTGTCCTTTTTATCTTTTAAATTCAGAATGTATTGGTAATGCAATATTTTAAATGATTGTCATTCATAAATATCTAACGCCTACTATTTTACTACGCACGCACACATTCTGAAGGGTCGCCCGGTTACAAAATTTAGGTAGTTTCTCGCGCGTTTTCCCGCGCCCTTCCTTTCCGTTAACCGTTACACCGCTAGGTACCTTCGTCCGTCGGGCCGGCCGACAGCTGACAGTGTTGACCGTAACCTCATTATGTGCAGGTAAGCTACTGCTATTTTTAAATTAGCGTAAGTAGTAGTGTCAATTCGTTACCAATGATGGAACGAAAATAGTCAAACCGCGAATGATATGAAACTATGAAATGGTGCGATATTATATTTTAAGCAACGGACGTTTACATGATGCGCAAAGATTACATGAAAGTGAGTCTTTACCGCGTCAAGAAATTAACGTACGTCCTACCTATCAATCGAAGAATAATTGATAGCTAATCAAACTATTTAAGTGCAGTGAGCGATAATTTAAATAGTGAATATAAAGATAAGTGGATTGCGCACGGAGGCCCTATATACAAACTCGCCATAACTTACCGTTAGACTTTTATCTGTGGGGTTGAAATATAGAGTCGTGTTTACGTCAAAGAGGCCCAAAGTTATGAAGACAGCCACAATAACAACAGGAGCGCGCGTACGCGTAGTTGTTGACCATAAATCATATTCAATTTCGGATAATTTCAAATAAAAGTAGCAGTCTTATTTTCTCGTATTTTCAAAAACTGCAATATCGGTATATCATTATTCTTATATATTTGCACTTAACTTCTTACGTGGTAGAGCCATGCTGCAGCTATATTAGTAGTATAATTGTAGCACAAATGGGTCAGCTCAACCGGGGAAGGACCACGCTCTCACAGAATACCAGAGTAAAATAGCAGCTTAACACTGCTGTGTTTCGTATGGTGAGTGTAGTGAACCGGAGACCCTTTTTACTGGAAAAGAGGCATTCCATCTTAGTCCTCACGGGTACAACGCATCTGCATTTTGATTCGCAAACGAGGATAAATGTAGATGTCTATGGGCCACAGCAACCACTTACCATCAGGTGGATTGTGTGCTCATTTGTAACCCTATCCTATAAAAAAAAAACTATATATTTGGCTACTATTTGATTAATAACAATATAAATATTTATATTCAAGCCATGTTATTCCTCTTTCAGAATCAGTTAGTTACTTTTTTTGTTTGGATTTTGTTTTCTCTACAATATGACTATGTTTATAACCATGGATCTATTTTTTGATGTGAGTTCCAATGTGAAAACAATGTGTAATGCGTTTCAAAAGTCACGCAATCACTGACACATACGGAAGAACGAACGAACTGTGCGTTATTGGTTCTATGGCTTTCGTTCGGGAAATGAAACTCGGACTGCCCGAAAAAGAAAGTTGTTAATAATGAACGGAAGGCGATAATGGAACGGATAAGTCGATCCCATACGATAGTCACAAACATTCACCACATGATTAGATCTAGGTGCCCAAGGTAAACACAGCCGAAACGAAAGATTAACTTATGCTAATGGAAGAGAGAAGCTTGTGGTGACAGTGTACTGTTGGTGTAGCTTCTTATCATCTGTAGCCACAGTTACTGTTGACCGTTATTGTCAAGAATTGCAAGAAATGCTGGAGAAGTTGGCTTTCAAACTGTTGAACTGCTCTTCGCCATTGTTTCTTCATGACAATGCCCAGCCACATACTGCATAACAGATGTTGGCCAACTAGGCAGAGCTAAAAGATAGAGACATTTACTATACTACTCATCACCTTATCCACCATATTGTCCAGACCTAGCTCCAGAATTTATTGATATGATACACGAGTGTGTAGCAGATTTCTATACCCAGGCGTCAACAAACAAGAATCTGTTAACAGTTTAGGCATTGGTTTCATGAGTTACTTATCTATTCTCTCTCTATTCAAAGATTTTTTCGTAAAATAATTTAATTCAATTTTACCCATACAAAACGCAAATATTGTTAAAGACTGAATAATTCCAATTTTATGCTTAACGGAGAAGGAAAATCTTGTGAGCAAAAAATATTTTAAGGATATGTGTTTTTTTTATAGGATAGGGTGACACATGAGCACACAGTCCACCTGATGGTAAGTGGTTGCTATGGCCCATAGACATCTACATCTATCCTCGATTACGAATCAAAATGCAAATGCGTTGTCACCCGTGAGGACTAAAGTGGAATGCCCCGTTTCCAGTAAAAAGGGTCTCCGGTTCTCTACACTCACCATACGAAACACAGCAGCATTAAGCTACTATTTTACGCTGGTATTCTGTGAAAGTGTGGTCCTTCCCCGGTCGAGCCGACCCATCCATGCTACAACTATACTACTAATATAACTGCAGCATGGCTCTACCACGTATAAAATCTGTAGTCTGCCAAGACGCATTGGTTCAGCGCGGCTGAACCATTCACCAAAACTCTCACAAAAATGAGAGGTCTGTGTCCAGCAGTGGTGTGTGAATTTTTAACGAACAAAGCAGAATCACAATAAAGGTCAAACTGAAAACAGAGATATTTAAGGATAATTTATTATCATCATATGGGTTTTATTTATTTATTTATTCTTTATTGCATTTATATTATTGGGTTATAATTTTTGAAATATTTTCTCGATAGAAGGAAATAAACCACGAAGTTTCCTTAGTTATTTTAGTTCTGATTTAATAGTTTAATAAACAGAACAAAATCATTTGTGTTTAAATGTTAATTACCAATCCTGTTACATTGAAGCATAATGCACTTAACATATTACTTAATTGTCCTAGTGTACTTATTATCCTATTGATGGGATGTTATATTTTAATATAATATTTATGTGAGTTGTTATTGCGAGTAGAATTCATATGACAGCAGCAACATTTTTTTGACCAATGATGTCTTTCCGTCAATATAAAGCAGTACAATTTTAAGAAGAGTAATTTGTCGGTTAATATTAATTTTTGGTCTGATCTAGGCTCAGTGACCTATGCCAATACATTAACCTTTTTAAAGTCATACAGTTAAGTATATTAATTGAAAACAAAAACGTATAGTTATTTACTGAATGTATTATATTGTGTATGTGTGTGTTTGTGGGCGTGCGTGCGCGCGTTCTTTTTTTCTTTTTAATGTGTTTTATTTAAATTTTTTAATATGTAATTTTTACAGAACATCGTGAATTACATGCGACAGTCTCACGTGTGGGCAAGTCTATCGACCGGCATTTTATTGTGGATTACGCTTCAGTAGCACCAAAGGCCGAGTCATTTTGCTCTGATACCAATCGACCCATCATGGAGCAGGCCATCGCTCAGCATTTGTATAGAGAGGTGTGACAGTAAAATTAAACATTATTTATTTTTAGTACCAGCGGTGTTTTGTGGCGGGTAGTATACTTTTTTTATAGAAGAGGGGGCAAACGAGCACGCGGCTCACCTGATGGTAACTGTTGACCGCCGCCCACGAACAACTGCAACACCAGGGGAATCGCAGGTGCGTTGCCGGCCTCTTTTTTTGAAAGTCTCTAGGTCGTATCGGTCCAGAAAATTGCTGCTGGTATTCGATTCCACAAGGAATTTATGCGAGGAAGAAAACCCCTTGTAAATCGCACATTGGTGAACCGCTAATCGTTCAGATGGTATGAGTATAAAAATTGAGCGGCTGGAATTAGTCCTAACAATTCCTCAGACCGCTCCCCGTGGTAGTTTTTTTTTATAGGATCGGGTGACAAACGAGCGCACAGTCCACCTGATGGTAAGTGGTTACTGTGACCCATAGACATTTACATCTATCCTCAATAAAGACTCAAAATGCAGATGCGTTGTCACCCGTGAGGACTAAGATGGAATGCCTCTTGTCCAGTAAAAAGGGTCTCCGGTTCTCTACACTCACCATACGAAACACAGCAGCGTTAAGCTGCTATTTTACGCTGGTATTCTGTGAGAGCGTGGTCCTTCCCCGGTCGAGCCGACCCATTCGTGCTACAACTATATTACTAAAATATAGCTGCAGCATGGCTCTACCATGTATAAATACTCGGCCGCCGACGATTCAAACCGCTTTGCACTGGATGCGTTCAAATTGAAGGAGCTGGCACTGGGGAGCCCCGGCCCAGAGATGGGAACAGTATTCTATGTGATGTGCCGGCATGAAATACTGTCCTGCTCTGCTGAGCAAGCCAAGCTTTTTAGAGGTCAGTTTGACATTCTCTTCCAAGTGACCACGAAACTGCACGTCGTTCGATATGTCGACGCTGAGGATCCCGATACTGGCTGAGGCAACAAGGGGAAGCCCTGAAACTGAGGAGATACGACAAAGGCGTCCTTTTTAGCAGTAAACGCGCAAACTTGTGTTTTCTGGGGATTGACCTGGACTAAATTAAGTCGCCCCCAATCCGAGATTTTCTTCAACAAAGTCTCGACTTATGTCTGAAATAAGTTTGTTCCGGTACTCTGCGACCTTCCCACGAGAAATATTGGCACGACCAGTGTATAAAGCATCATCAGTGCTGTCGTCCACATAGCAATGAATGTTACCGATTTGCACATATCATTGATATGCAGAAGAAACGGCGTTGGTGATAGCACGCAAGCAGCCTTTTAGAACTCAAGCGTTAATAGGTTTGTAATCGGAACATGCACCGTCTACTACGACATTGATGCAATCCGTCGATTCCGATCTACAAGAAAACTGGTGATCCAATTGTACAATATCTCGGGAAGCCCATAGGAAGGAAGCTTCAAAAGAAGCGCTTTGTGCCAAAACCAATCGAAGGCCTTCGCTTTGTCTTGGACTCTACTGTCTCCGCCCATCTTCTATGAGTTAGGTAACCCAGAAGTTCACCAGCTAAGAGACCCCGACGGAAACCGTGCTGGTGGTCACTAATCAGCTGGTGATTCATTATGTTTGAGAACAAGGAGGTGATAGCGATAGGCCTGTAGTAGTTGGATGGATCTGAGTGGTCGTCTTTTTTAGGGATCGGGTGCACCAAAGCTGTCTTCCATTAGTATGGTCTGCGCCTAGGGAGTAGAAATACTGGAAGTACTTACAGATAGTATAATAAGTACTTCCAGTATTTCATACTGGACCTGCGGAGAGTGGTACTTACCCTTCACCTAGTAAAATAGCAAGGTTCGGCAAACATGTGTAAGGCGGCGTGGCGTGTGGGGTATGGAGCAGGTGGGCAACGTGTTTGTGTGCGAGGTGCGTGTGGCGCTAATGAAGTGCGCGTTCAGCGGCGATGCAGCGATGCAGCGCTGCAATTATTATTTCAACTTAATGTTGCTTATTCTCGTTGCTAATAACTCTTACTGAGGACCAAGATAAAATGCCTCACATCTTACAACTTGTAATTATACTGGCTCTCTATACCCTTCATACTGGAACCTATTTTTATCGTGGAAAAATACTTATGGATACCTTCGGCTGCGGAAGCAACAGAAAGGTTATGTTGGACTCCGACTGGTTAAAACTTACGGTGATCAACAACAGCATATAAGAGGGGACCGGGGATCTCTGTTCGGAACGAACTTCCCTGGGTACCACATTCATGTAGTAAAATGGCAAGGTCCAGCAAACGAGTGTAAGGCGTGATGCGTAGGGCCTGGAGGAGGTGGGCGACGTGTTCGTGGAGGAGGCGGGGGTGGGCGCGGTGGAGCGCACGTGCGCGTTCGCGGCGCTGCAGCGCTGCGCGGCCGCGCTGGCGGCCGGTGACCCCGCGCCCGCGCTGCACTGGGCGCAGCGCCGCAGCCACCAGCTGCTGCACTCGCCGCTGCCCTTCGCGCTGCACACCGTGCACACGCTTAAGGTACCATACATTATTTAGCTTGTCTAATTAGATTTGTTGACTTGTTTACCGTGTAGTGTCGGTGTACACGCCCCTAGCTGCCCCAACAAAGTTCGACCTTACAGGGGCCCATACAGCTGTAGATTCGACGAGCAGCAGGGGACGGGGCCCAACGGCCTATGGACAATTGACCTACACGAAAGCGGTAAGGCTAGGTAAATAAATAGTACGTACCTGTTCAGAGGAGAAGACTGGACACAAGGCTCGGTCAGGCGTTAGGTGTAATGTATGTAACTGGTGTTTAGTGGTGTGTTTATATATGTGGCCTGACCCAGCTGAGGTTATTGGGCAGCGGCCTGGTACGATGCTGCCCCACAATGGAATTCACTCCAGCGGACGTCACCAATTGGCAATTTCTTTCTTCCATTCACTATGTCAGTCTATCAATTTTATTGTACATTTAACTAATTTCAAACTCAATTAAATCCCCGTTAATTATAATCAAAAACGTAACACACGGCACGACTAATGAACGGTGGGTCAAAGTTCACTTTCGTTTCACTCAGCAACAAATTATTTCTAGAACCGAACGCGACCTTCTAAGGCACTTAACGCGACGGTACAATTAAATATTAACTTCCAAACAATTAATCGACTCAGCGTCTAATTTTCTAGACTCCACAATTCCTCGTCGTTGCATAAATTTGCTAACAAAGCCGACACAATCAGAGGTTATTATGTACGTGACCACGCGGTCCGAGTAGATTCACTGCACTACTATACAATTGACGCAATTACTTTTAAACGAAATTACTTTAATCGGTCAAATACAATACAAGCCTGTTGTCACGAACATACAACTTAGACAAACTAATCCAAGGAGGTCTTCACGAAACCACAAATTAAGTAGCGAAGTAACGCGCACAAATACTAAAAATATAGACCATAAAACCAAAACTGGCCGCACGAAATCGCTGCCGCGGTCACCACATAATACGTTACAACGGCGCCGCTGCACTCAAGCTACTGTCTGAGCTCCGAACGCCGGGAGGCCACATACCGCTGCTCCCCCCCCCCCCCGGCGACGCGCGCGTCACCTCACACCATCGGGCGATTCGCTAAGTCAAAGGCGATTGGATGCCGTTTCAAATGACCATGTTTGGGCCTAAACAGTCGGTGTAGAGGAATATCCACTACTCCATATCAACCCGAGAGTGTCGTAAGAGGTGACAGAGGAAAAGAAATCACGAAATGGGCAGCAGCGTCTTCTTAATAACGACCACTATGGCCACTATGACAAATATTTAGCAGTCGACTTTTTTTTATAGGATAGGGTGACAAACGAGCACCTGCTGGTTACTGTGGCTCATAGACATCTACATCTATCCTCGTTTGCGAATCAAAATGCAGATGCGTTGTCACCTAAGATGGAATGTCAGACTAAGATGGAATGCCTCTTTTCCAGTAAAAAGGGTCTCCGGTTCTCTACACTCACCATATGAAACACAGCAGTGTTAAGCTGCTATTTTACGCTGGTATTCTGTGAGAGCGTGGTCCTTCCCCAGTCGAGCCGACCCATTCGTGCTACAACTATACTACTAATATAGCTGCAGCATGGCTCTACCACGTAAAAATATATATATATATATATAACTATAATATACTGTAACGGTAACGGTATTCTTTGTAATGGATTCGTACGATTGATGACGTGATGTCTATCTGTACACCGAATTACTTCTTGATGAAAATTAATTTACAACATTACCTGCTTCAGCAGAAGAATTTGTGAATAAGAAGCCAATTCTTTCAGCAGCTTATAAGATGCCATTAGTAAAGCTTTATATCCTTTAATAAATTTATTACATGCCTGCAGCTTTTTATCATTTCTCAGATAATTCAGCAATGCTATGTTAACTAGTTCAGACATATATTAGTTGCTATAATTTTATCTGCAAACTTTGCAATTATTTCAATTACTATTACTATATTTTTATTATATTTCGATCGGTAACCTCTGTTAATTAAGATGGCAAGTTGAATTTTCCTTGTTCAGTCATTCATTACAGCCTATCCAGTATAGTAAACTGTTGAACATAAATACCCGTTGCATAATTGTTACGCTCGGCAGGCGAGTTAGCAACCGCAGTTTTCTTTCTAGTTAGGAAGACGCCGCTGACCTTCAGCTGATTTGTGTTCCTCCGTCGCCTCTTACGACACTCATGGGGTTGCGGATATTTTTACACCGCTCTATTTCGCTCGATCAAGTTTCCAATTGGTGAACGATTCGCAGTTGGCCCGCGAGCAAGGCGTAGGGGCGGCGATAGAGTACGCGCGCGAGCAGTTCCCGGCGCACGCAGCGCGCCACGAGAAGCAGCTGGCGGCCACCGTGTGCGCGCTCGCCTGGCTCACGCCGGGCGCTGGCCCGCCGCCCGCGCACTACCACCGCCTGCTGGACCAGCGCGCGCTCGGTAACGCACACCACTCTGTACCCCGCAGGCGCGTATTGCGCCTTTCAGATTCAGAATATATGTATTTGAAGTCGCTCTATTTTAGAGATTTACTAGTAGTATATATTTATTAATAGGTTATACTGCGCTCTGTCATTGGGACATGATATTTCTGGTATTTACCTTACAATAATCAATAATTTCAATTACATAGATAAAATATCCTATATGACCTGTGGATGTTGGACCATGTTAACTTCTTTTTTTTTAAACTTTAGTTGTTATTGAAATGCCATCCATCTTATGCCATCACAATAACCCAATACTTACCGATAGATAATCCGAAGGATGAAAGAAGAGAAATGTATCGAAATTATCCATTTAATTTTTATCTTTTTATTTTGGTATTAAAATATTACTATATTTATACGGGAGGACACGAGTAGTTCTTGCAAAATGCGTTAATGATTTTGACGAAAAATTAAAAAAAGAACATCTACCATAAATTTACTAAGTATAATATATATATATATATATATATATATATATATATATATATATATATATATATATATATATATAAATTAGATATTGAAAATGGATATAATAGACTTTATAATCTAAAAAATTAAAAATATATAATCAATGTAACAAAATTAATTTTCACAGCAGTTTTAAACATATTTCGTGTGTTGAGCGTGGAATTTTTGAGCTGAATTTCATACAGCGATCCTTTACTGCTAAAATAAAATTATTATATAAAATTAACTGAATATTCTGTGTTGTTCATGTAGGCGCAGAGGCAGCGGAGTTATTCCTACGTGAAGCATGTGCATTACTCCGGTTGGCACCACTGTCGCCGTTGGCAGGAGCCGTGATGGCGGGTGCCCGTGTGATACCCGCCCTTCATGACATTCGAGCCAAAATGACGCACCAACATGTCGCCGCCGCTTGGGCCGACGATGAGTTGCCACTTGAGGTAAACCGGTGTTGTTTTTATCTTAGGTTTGTTTGGAAATTATTCTCTTGTATAGTTTTAGTAGTAATAATTACATTGAAAAAAAAAAACAAATTTCAACAAATTATACAGGGAAAATGTTATTTTTCATAGAGTAGTCAAATTTTAAATAAAAGTTCAATTATAACTAATGATATACTGTTAAGTTTTTGAAAATACGAGTAAATAAGCTTCTAGTTTTACATGAAATTATCCTAAATTGAATGTGATTTATGGGCAACAACGTTTTTGCCTACCGATCGACCCTTACGAATGTGTGCGTGCGCAGTAAAATCAGTTATCATAATGCATTATCACGCATTTTGAATTTAAAAGATAAAAAGGACGGAATATTTGAGATTTTTTAAATTAATTTTTCTTCACCATTCGCCTTTATTACTTATTCTGAACCTTGTCTGCAAATTTGGCGGGTTGTTACAAAATAACCCTGTATAAATTCTTCTATTTATGTTTGTAAGTTCTCTGCTTGTCATTTACGTATTATTGTGAATAATAACAGCATTTTAGGTACCTACAGTGTAACAGATATTAATAGATTTATTTGTTAACGAATCAAACGTATTAAAACTTATAATAAAATATTTATCTGGCTTGAGAGACCAAAATATTTGTTTCACACATTGTGATAGCACTAAAAATACCAAATGCATATTATATTATCCAACTTTTATCAATATGCTCAGTAATGGCTGCTGAACGAATGAGAAATGCACGATATAATGGTATAAACTTACGACTTATTAAATTGCTATTTATAATAATGGTATTTGTAAAACGCTAAACATGGCGGGGTAACAGATGGAGTTATAATAAAACAAACACAGTTGTACGTAAAGTATACAGTGGCGAAACTAGGACTCTAAACTAGGGCAAGCCCAAGATATGGTTTTGTTGTTTTTAGCAGTTTTATAAAAATACAATAATCTTGATCTGTCTCCCCTCTTTAGTTTCATATACAGTGCTGTCGAGAACGTGTTTAACAAAGCACACAGAAGGCATACTACTGCTAGATAGATTGTATGACATATCAGCAATTGCATATCTTCGGTGGCTTTGAAAAAAGCCGTTTGGGTTTGCTTGAGCGAAAGAAAAAGATATTTAACAAAAGAAAAGCATGCACAAAGTACAAACAATGTACAAAATTTAAAAAAAAAAACAAATTATTTATATTCTAAATCGAATCATCTTTCTTCCTTAAGGAAAGATTTGATTACGTCCGCGCAAAATGTTGCTGAAAACATATGCATATATATTTCTCAACAAAGTTTAAAGATTTTACCTTTTCCTCGCCGATTAGCAATTTAACACATTTCAATTTATCACCAGGAACACTATTATCCTCCATTTTCACTAAAAATCTTTAAAAAAGCATAAATTTTCAACTCGCTATATTCATTCGCTGAAGTAAACACAGAGTAAACATTAAAATGTGAAGTGAACTTGCAAACGTAACGCCCACGCGCCCCTAATTTCACACCAAAAGCCTGGCTTATGGCTCCATACTAATTGCTATATAAAAATCGTAGTTATATTTCATTATAGAACATTTTGCCACAGGTTAGAAAGGGAGCGATCGCCTTCTCGAAAGCCCGGTAAAAATCCCACGCGTGCGAGAGAGACGACTAATCGCTCAACTCCTTTTTTGTGACAACAGTATCGCGCAGTTTTGCCGCGACGATTAATGACTTGTGTAGAACAGAGGAGCGTGCGGGAAATTTAAAATAGTTTTTGAAACAGTTTACGAGTTATTTTATTAGTTGATATTATTGATTGAGCAGTTTGATAGGGCAAGCCCGGATTCTCGGCTTCTATGGAGGCTTCTCTACCGTTTGTATTGTACGCTAATTGCTTTACAAAATGTAATAAAATGTGTAAAAGTAAACTTAATATTTTCGTAGGTTTAGGTGCTGTTTCTAACTGACGTAGTGTTTGCGATCATTACTATTGGTGGAGTGTTTACGTATCGTTAACGCAATAAGACCGTTTACTGTTTACAGTAGACCAGTGGCTGACTAAGACCGTCAGAGGCCCGGGGCGGCAAAGCTGAATCAGGCCCTTAGTTTAAGAAGTTGTTCTAATCTCACAAACTTTTTATTCACTTCACATTTGTTTATATAAGTGTTATGTTTATGTAGTTAAAATCTTGCAAGTGAAATTTAAATTTGACTTAAATAAACATATAGAATATAGATATGGATGAGGAAAATAAAATACGAATTGTTTGTTCTTTTATCGTTCATCGCTGGATTTGTAAACGACAACATAAAAACAAAAATAATTACGGCTATGCCCACATGCTATCGTCGTTTTGTAATCAACGTGAAAGGATTGAAACTTCTTATTGAAATTTGAATATGGTTTCAAGTATGCCATACGGATCGTGCGAGGATACCGAACAATATCCTTTGAGGCGGTGACACTCCTGGCTCGCTTCCCACCTCTGGACATACTGGCGGACATGGATGCGAGGGTGTATGACCGGACGCGTGTCCTCCGCCAGAGCGTCGGGAGTGAGCCAGATTAGAAGCCAAGCAAGCCAGAGAAGCGAGCATTCGTAACGTGGCGCGCTCGCCTCTCGGAAGAGCGTTATGCGTGCAAACGCGTTGTTGGAGCAATCCTGCCGCACTTTGAAGCCTGGATGCATCGAAGAACAGGAAGACTCACCTACAGACTTACACAGATAATGATCGGGCACGGGTGCTTCGGTGATTATTTGTGTAAGATTGGAAGGGAAGCGACGGCGAACTGTTTCCACTGCGGTGGGCAGGAACAGGACTCCGCATCCCATACGCTTGCAATATGCCCAGCGTGGGAACGGGAGCGGACGGTCCTGGTAAGCCGGATCGGTCAGAACATCTCCCTGCCGGCAGTCGTGTCGGCGATGCTGAGCAGGGACTCCGCGTGGAGGGCCGTAGCCACCTTCTGTGAATCCGTTATGATCCAGAAGGAGGCTGCTGAGCGGTGTTGGGAGAGGACAGATCCCGCTCGAAGACGAGGCCGCCAAGGCGTTCGTCAGGGCCCTCCCCTTGATGATGGTGTTCCCCTACCAGAAACGGGGCCTCGGGGGTTACGGGCACTCGGGGCGGGGGCCCCGAGCGTCTAGTGATGTAACATCTGAGGAGGACGGTGACTTGAAAGTGGTCTCGAACACCGTGATAGCATTCCGAGGGTGCGGGGGGTAGTAAGGACTGCCCCCGGGAAGTGCTTTAATAGAGCAAAGCGTGAGAGGGGCCCCGGTTGCGTTCCGAACGGAGATCCCGAGACCCCTCATATACGCTGATGAAGACCACCGTGGGGTTTTGGCCGGTAGGATTCCGGCATAACCTTTCCGTTGCCCCCGCAACAGAAGGTATCCATGAGGATTTCCCCACGATAAAAAAAGCCTAATGGCAGGGTGCGGACAGCCAACTCAAAGTTGTGGGTTCGAATCTCCCATCCGACGACGAACCACTCCTAATACAAGCATTTTAATAATGTAGCATTGTAGTATTGCTAGCGTGGCAGCGCTGTTGTCGCGCCACAAGCGAAACGCACCAAAGCTTAAATCAGTATTTTTTTAAATTCAAAAAAAACAAAACATGTTGCAGGTGGAGTTGGGCGCGGAGGGCGGCGGTTACCACTCGGTGTTCGCGTGCCCCATCCTGCGCCAGCAGGCGTCCGATGCGAACCCACCCATGCGCCTGCTCTGCGGACACGTCATCTCACGAGACGCGCTGCACAAGCTCGCCATGGGCGTCAAGTGCGTACCTCGTTCTCACTGCAGCATACACACACACACTCACGCACGCACGCACGCACGCACGCTAGCACGCGCACGCACACACACACACACACACACACACACACACACACACACAGACATAGTGCCCTGCGGACACGTTATCTCGCGAGACGCACTGCACAAGCTTGCCATGGGCGTCAAGTGCGTACTTCGCTCTCACTACAGCAAATATCTCACACAAATATAGTGCCCTGCGGACATGTCATCTCGCGAGACGCGCTGCACAAGCTCGCCATGGGCGTCAAGTGCGTACCTCGTTCTCACTGCAGCACACACACACACACTCACACTCACGCACGCACGCACGCACGCTCGCACACACACACACACACACACACACACACACACACAGAGAGAGAGAGAGAGAGAGAGAGAGAGAGAGAGAGAGAGAGAGAGAGAGACATAGTGCCCTGCGGACACATTATCTCGCGAGACGCACTGCACAAGCTTGCCATGGGCGTCAAGTGCGTACTTCGCTCTCACTACAGCAAATATCTCACACAAATATAGTGCCCTGCGGACATGTCATCTCGCGAGACGCGCTGCACAAGCTCGTCAAGTGCGTACCTCGCTCTCACTAGAGCACACACACACACACACACACACACACACACACACACACACACACACACACACACACACACACACACACACACACACACACACATATAGTGCCCTGCGGATACGTAATCTCGCGAGACGCGCTGCACAAGCTCGCCATGGGCGTCAAGTGCGTACCTCGCTCTCACTGCAGCACACACACACACACATATAGTGCCCTGCGGATACGTAATCTCGCGAGACGCGCTGCACAAGCTTGCCATGGGCGTCAAGTGCGTACCTCGCTCTCACTATAGCACACACACACACACGCACACATATAGTGCCCTGCGGACACGTAATCTCGCGAGACGCGCTGCACAAGCTTGCCATGGGCGTCAAGTGCGTACTTCGCTCTCACTACAGCAAATATCTCACACACATATAGTGCCCTGCGGACATGTCATCTCGCGAGACGCGCTGCACAAGCTCGCCATGGGCGTCAAGTGCGTACCTCGCTCTCACTGCAGCACACACACACACACATATAGTGCCCTGCGGATACGTAATCTCGCGAGACGCGCTGCACAAGCTTGCCATGGGCGTCAAGTGCGTACCTCGCTCTCACTATAGCACACACACACACACACACACACATATAGTGCCCTGCGGACACGTAATCTCGCGAGACGCGCTGCACAAGCTTGCCATGGGCGTCAAGTGCGTACTTCGCTCTCACTACAGCAAATATCTCACACACATATAGTGCCCTGCGGACATGTCATCTCGCGAGACGCGCTGCACAAGCTCGCCATGGGCGTCAAGTGCGTACCTCGCTCTCACTACAGCACACACACACACACACATATAGTGCCCTGCGGACACGTCATCTTGCGAGACGTGCTGCACAAGCTCGCCGTAGGCGTCAAGTGCGTACCTCGCTCTCACTGCAGCACACATCACACACACATATAATGCCCTGCGGACACATCATCTCACGAGACGCGCTGCACAAGCTCGCCATGGGCGTCAAGTGCGTACCTCGCTCTCACTGCAGCACACATCACACACACATATAATGCCCTGCGGACACATCATCTCACGAGACGCGCTGCACAAGCTCGCCATGGGCGTCAAGTGCGTACCTCGCTCTCACTGCAGCACACACACACACACACATATAGTGCCCTGCGGACACGTAATCTCGCGAGACGCACTGCACAAGCTCGCTATGGGCGTAAAATGCGTACGCCTCGTTTTTACTCCATTACAGCATACATATAAACGTTTACTGCTGATATGCTACCCTTATATGGAGGATATTGCCATAGTTGCCACGCTTCGCAACCGCAGTTTTTCAAGTGAAAATTTCTTTAGCATCTTTGTGATTCGAATGAAACGTAAAAGCGACACTAAAAAGAGACAAATATATAAATCTATAGAATAGACCTACTAGAGAATGAGATAGAATCTATATTATTATAATAAATCGGAAGAGGTTTTTTGTTTGTTTAAACACGCTAATCCCTGGAACTACTAGTCCGATTTGATAGATTATTTTTGTATTATATGTATATGATAGCCAGATTCACAAGGAATAGTATAGGCTATCTAGCATAAGGCTATACCTCTCAACTTGACTTAAATATTGTTTTTTGTTAAGCAATTCTGAAGAAAAAGCGCTCCCGAACTGTTTTATCCTTGTGCGCTGGTGTAATGGTTAGTAATAAGTAAATACTATGTTCTACAAAAATATAGCTCTATCATCCATATAAAAAAAGTCCGCGACACCGCCTATTTCTTATATGTACATAAGCTAAAATAAGGTATCTTGTAAGAAAAACATATTGAAATAGAAAAAGTGATTTATGAGCGTTATTATTAGGCATGGCATATTAATCCCTACGATCGAAAGTTACTTCATCATCAAGACAATTTTATGAAGATAAACATTGCTCTTAATAGCATCTTATTTGGACGCATAGTTAAAAAATAAAATAATTCAACACTCGTCACGGCGCGCGAACAACGCCTAGCTAGCTACCCGATGACAACCAAAGAAACCAGCGACCAGTGAACGTCTGTTTACTGCATGTTTCTTTCGGTTCACTTATAGACACCTATAGCGAGGTGTCATGTCGCGCGTCTCCGACGCGTGATATACCTACGCGGGTGATACTGCGAGTAACAGCTAGTTCAGTATAAAGTATTTCCTATTCTTTCTGTCTCCTCCCTGGGTGGTGCTTTGAAAATATAACTTTTAACTGTATTTCAACAGTTTAAAGTTATAGTTTAATGCATCAAGAATTAAAGATTACAAATTAATTGTCAAATAAATAAAATTAATTATATTGAATAAAATTATCATATTTGGCAGCAGAAATAGATAAAGAAAGTAATACCTAACCAGATTAATTTACAAAAGTTCATCATATTTCTACAATTACCTAGTAACGTAAGGAATATGAATGTGTAAAATCGTTAAATCTAATTGGGTAATTACCACAACGGTTAGTTCCAATACTTTTACTAATAATATATAAATACATAACTTTAACTAATATTTTCTTGTTTAAAAGTTTATACAATTTGTATAGAAAATTGCGTTTTGACATCACCTTAATATTGCAATTGAAATGTATATCAACTATGAAGAAACCAAACCAAGTGCATTATAATTTTTTGTATATCAAATTAGTGTACCTTAGTGTAATTCCATTAAAATGCCACTCAACTCAACCCATAATACCGTCACAGCCTATTGAAGTCCACTGCTGAACATAGGCCTCCCGTATAGATTGCCTTATAGAGGGGATATTTGCCATAGTTTCCTCGCTTGGCAACCGAGTTGGCAACTGCAGTCTCTTATTTTTAGTCGTTATTAGGAAGACGCTGCTGCCATCTCCTGATTTGTTTTCCTCTGTTGCCTCTTGATGATATGGGGTAGTAGACCTATAATAAATACACTATAATTATCTGTATGGGAAATAATGTACATTTCTTAATTGTTTAATATTGAATATTGCTTGTTTCAGGTTGAAATGCCCCTACTGCCCCATGGAGCAATCGCCATCAGAAGCTCGACAAATATATTTCTCCTAAGAACTTGTTAAATACACTCAAATCACATTTTGTTAGAATAACTTGGTAGGCAGAAGTCTGACAATATCGAAGGAGGCAATTTATGACATTGTAACATAGCTTATATCAGTATATTATATTGTAGACCATTAATATAGAGCGAAGACCTAAACTGCCTGTAATAGGTTTCTCTTACACGACTTTAAAACTTTTTGAATGTTCTCTATGTGACAATTAAAAGTGAAAGTATTGATCCACTTATTTTCCTGTTTTTAATTAATTACATATTTACAGTATATCAGACAAGTTTATAAAGTGCGTTTCATAAAATAGTTCCTTTGCCATTATGTTGGCAGTAATGTTTTCCAGTGTTGCCACATTAACTTCAATGATTTACCTCACAGTTGGGTGATGGTGTATTTTATTTTTGTGAACTAAAACCGTATAGAAAATATATTATGGAAAAACTATCATTGAGACGTTAATACATATTTGCAAATGATTTTCATTATTTAAAAAAAAAGGACAGTAATGAAAAGCAAAAATAATTTAATCCTTTTTACAATAAGTATGATCAAGTGAAACATTTGATTTGTAATGGCAATTTAAGGTATCTAATACGTGAAGTAGTTATGCTCATCCAACGGACTTATACGAGAGACACTTTCGTCGTCTTCGTATTCCATATCATCCTCGTTATCAGAAGTATCGCTATCGTCTCCTACTTCAATCATAAACCGGTCGATTTCGCTATCAATAGCTGGACCATCGGCGTAATATTTTTCTTCAATTCTTCTGACGTGCTCACATTCTTTCCACTATTCTTCTTCGGTAATCGTTGCAAAGGCTTCTTCTGTTATTTGAACAATTTTGTTTGTTTTTTGACACATTTTTTTAGCAATTCGTTTTTTAAGAGCATGATCTTCCAACATCTTATCTGCATCACATACAGGCGGCTGTTTGTGCTCTTTAATAATTTCATGTAACTGACTGCCTCGTTGGTCTAGTGGTTGTATTAGAGCGACTGCTGATCATGAGCTCCCGTGTTCGAATCCCAAGTCGGGCCAAAAAAAGTCAGTTATTGAATTTTTCCATCAAGAATTTCTTAGTAGCTGTCCGGAGTCAGGAAGTTTGCGGTGTCTCACCCCCGTGCCTCGGAGAGCATATAAAGCCGTTGGTCCTGCGCCCGATCTCTCTCCGGTCGTGTCGGTTTACCGTCTCATCGGATTATGAGAGTAAGGGAATAGAAAGTCCACCTGTGCTTGCGCATACACTTGGGCAGTATAATCCAGTCCTGCGCCGATGACTAGTCTCCGTTGAGACTGGCCGCCGTGATTGAAATTCGGTCTGGAGGATATTATTATTATAATTGAGCCTTTACCATTGTCGGCAAATACGAAAGTCCTTTACCTGTAATCCAGTTTTGCATTTCAGCTTTAGTGCTTGCCTTTATAGGTGCTTCGTCAACCACTACTGTATGGTAAGAGGCATTATCCATGACCACAATTGACTAGGAAGGTATGTTCGGTATCAGCATTTTACACTTCATGAAATCGGTTGTATATCATTATGATAGTCGGCCGCTCGTGACAGATTTAAAGATCAGCTGAGCATTGGGTATGAAATCCATAGCACCACCCGCGTGGACTATAATCCACCGGGGTCCTTTAGTCTGACGATAATACGCCTTCTTCAGATTCGTTTTGCCAGCATTTTCCGGCGCAATATGTCTCGTCCAAAGGAAAAAAACAGAACATTTCCGTCTTTTTATCTATTATCTATCTAATTCTACGCAACCCTTTGAGCCCCGTCGGCCGTTGCGAATTGCATGCCATCAATTATTATAGCTTAAATTTGTTCCAACAACGTTATATTACAAAGGCATGCAATATAATGTCACGGAAAAGTACTAAAATTCTTTACACAAACAGAAGCCATTTTCTTTATGACGTGCAAGCGCGCAAGTGCTCGTAACCCCTCTATCTTTCATACTTTAGGGTTAGTTATCAATTCTTAAAAAGGCATGCAGGAGAAAATCGGAGAATATTTTCTGTCACCATCTCCTAGTCTATGTTGTAAGCATGAAGTCTGCAGCGATTTAGACGTGGTCGATGAGTTGGTCTGTGTCGGCATTACCTATAGAGTCACATTCAAGACTGCCGAGGCGTCGAGAAAAGTTGTTATCTCTGACGTATACGCAAACTCGAGGTCGAAACACAAAGGTGTTCTAATTTGTACCTCAGACAGGAGAGAAGTATCGACCGGAGGGGACATCTGCGTTTGGGTTAGAAAGAGCAAGGTCGGCTTCGCCGTCTTCAGATGATACCTAGTGGACTTCGTTAACGTTCGAATGAAATCCCCTAATGTTGCAGAAATTCACGGATAGCGTGGCAGGAGTCACATTTGTCTTATTGCTCTACTTGCCACATGCAGTATTAGTTTTGAGCGGGATTTCGCCCCGCCCCTATCCAGAATTCGCGAGGCAGCTGGATCACCAGCGCTAAGGAAGAGTAGGGTAGCTTGAGTGTGTATGCTCGGCAAGGGATTCTTTAATACCAGAGGTGCTTGTGCCCTCCTGGGATGGTTTCTTATTTAATTACACTACCATGTTAAAAGGGAGAGGGGCTAAGCCTTCGTCCACCTGCACTTACCAGGCGAAGTAAACTTCTACTTCACGCTGGTTATCTGTAAGGTCGTGGTCGACCCATTCATAACATTCATTAATTAAAACTCTACATTTCATATCTTACCAGGTCGTCACTCCATCTAGTTTGGTCCACCCGTGCGTCAGTAAAAGCTGCCGTGTGGCTCTTCCACTGTTATGTTGTCTGCCTATATTATTAACTGTAATCTACTTCATCATTATTTATGCGTTACACATAATACTTTGTAGTAATTAACTTTGCTTTACTATGCCCTGCAGTGGGCGACAAGAAGCTGATGATGAAGTATTTTTTCCCCTTTGAAGTATTTAGTTTAGTTTAAATAGGGCCCCAATTAAGCACTAAGTAAGTAAGCACTAAGCAGCTCTTGAAGTGAGTAGTCGCGTAATGAAACCTCAAATATTGTCTAGAAATATTATTATTGCTATTATAAAACGAAGGAGACCGATCAAGAAGAGAAACCGAGAATACTGGGTGCATTCTATATACAGTGACAGATTTCTTCCCCCAGCTTTTTCATTAAATTTACATCTTTCATCATCATCATCTTTATCAACTATAAAAGAGATGATTGGACAAGTAGCGCCATTTTTAAGCGTGCGCACTTTTTTCCGCGCCAATATTTTGAGTGAGGGTGACGTTATAGACCGAGTCGGCCAACTAAACAAGTACCGTACTGATTTAGCAGATGGCCGATAGTTAGAAATCATGTAACTGATTTATCGGCCGATAACTAATCGTTATAATATGCGCACTTGCATACATCTCAATACTGATTAAGAAAGCGACTAAACTCTCGCGCGATAGAAAGTCTGCAGTGTGCGGTGTCTCTTACTCGTCCACTTCCTATGTAGTTTATTTTCTGTCTTATCTCGTCTATTTTCTACTTCATCGTTATTCTAATTCGATCAAATGAAAAATAAGTTGAGAAAAATTATTTTTTACTTGTCTGGGTATTACATTAAACAAATATTTTTTCGCAATATAAATATTACATATAACTTTAAATTTGACTTTCCACTAACTTGAATAAAATAGATTTTTGTCAATACTTCCGTTTAATTTCTTTTTCTGTTGACATTACTTTTGTTTTGTTTTACAGGGCAATCGTAAAATAGTATATTTCATTACGAGTGCGGAAAGCCTGTCAGGCCTGTCACTGCAAAGAGTTCCGACAAATGTCTACCTGAGCCGAGGCGCAGCCGAAGGTGAGGGTTGACAGTCGGAACAAGTTGCAATGACGGTTTCGCACTTTGAGCATAGAAAATAGGTTCCATTAACACAACAACACAGCACAACACAACACAGAACAACATAGGTTGTACTGAACAACTATTTTTAATACAGTTGCGAAAAAATGAAGCAATAATAAAAAGTGAAATAGTAAAAGAATATAAGCAGAGATGTTATTGTTTTCTTCACCCATTCTGGATAGGCAAAGGGAAGTATTTCAGTAGAATTTTTTTATTGATATGAAATGAAATTTAATGAGATGAAATGAAATCTAACCTAACTCATTGAATCAAATCATTAAATCTGATATTGAAACAAATTAGTAGCTTATTTTTTAGAAATATTTGCATGAATCATAAAAACAAAGCATAAAAACTTCAATGAATTTTTTTTTAGTAAAAACTTCGTGGTTGGTTTTTTTCATTTTAATAGACATTATTTGACAGTTGGGAAAGAGAACGCACGAGTTCGGAAAAGGTAAAGAAAAAGCTCGAGTATGTAATAGGTAATAGCCTACATCTCGAACGCTATACGTCCCTGCAATACGCAACTTTTTGAGCAACTGTATTATAAATTAATTTTGTGACGTTCTAATTTATAATTTTTACTGTTTATCACTGTTTCCACGATTTTTAGATAAATGTTTTAATAAGCTTCCTGATGGGAAACGTCTCTAAATGGGACGCAATATAATTAATGAAAATGCGGGAAAATGACACAAAAATGTAAGAATCTGCAGCTCTATATAAAATGAGAAATGGTATGCGGGGGTGACCAGAAAACCCTTTTCCATGCGGTGTGATCCACGAGGCGACTACGAGGTGGGGGGTGCTAGATTATTTCCTAAGATAGTTTAGACTTCCGGTAGACTGATTCAATTTAAATAAATAAATTTGAAGGACCAGCGGTAATTGCATGTTTACGAGACCAAATAAGCTCACCTGCGATTTTCATCACAATTGGTTGGAACGCGACTACGTCAGTTGCCTACAAGGTTATGGCATGCAACTCCCGACGGACTATTTAAGATAATGACAGGACACGACCCCTAGCTCATCCGCTTACCTTTTACCATATTTTGCATTGAGTTATACAAGACTAGAGGAGCAAACCACATTACCGCGC